TCAGCGCTGGGGCCGGCACCACTGCAGCGCTGCAGCATCTGCGCTCAGCACCCGTCATCTAACCACTTCCTCCCAAATGGAAGAAAGTGTGGCTACTATTGCACTTTTTCTTCTGAAGAAGGAATGGGGAAAGAGCCACACGTTTAAAACCCACATCCAGATTTCTGCAAAGTCAAAAGTTTTAATTGGTGCAAATTTTGGCTAACGTGAGATAGTAACCAATAGCAACAAAGAGTGGTTTGTGGCTTTTGCCTGGCTGCTTGCTCAAGTCTGGATCTCAACTGGTTTAACACTGGCTGTGTCTGAACAAAAAATGACACAAGGTCTGTGTCTGCAACTCGTCCAAGGCAGGCATCACACAGAAGGTTGCAGCTCCCTTCCAGGAATGGAGATAGTGCATGTCAGTCTCTCTAGCTTGATTTCAGGTTGCAGTGGAGGCGCAGTCAATGCACACACAGATCTGTACGCCAGGAGGTGCTGCTGACTCCTGAAATGGAGGCCCAGAAGACACCAGGTCAGGGGGAAATTAACGTCCAGGTTAATTTCAGTCAAGCTCAGATGAAGAACAGAATTCTTAACTACAAGACCATGAGACTCTGATCTCACACAGAACCTTAGTCAGACTTAGATATGAAAAGAGATGGATTTATAGCTCTAAGACAATCCCTTCCTTCCTTAGGGGCTCGAGTAAACTTTAGAAGGAAGTGAAATATCCCTTACACTTCTCACTTTATATAGAAGGAAGCAGAAACAGGGCTTTAAGCTCTCTTCTGAGTTTCCATTTACTATGGATATTGCAGCCTTGCCTATTGCCCAGACTGTGCTTGTTCTGTGGAAACAAAGCCATTGTTGGTCCTACAACGTTAATGGCTTGTCAGAAAGAGCTGTTTTGGAGCTGTCTTGCTTAAGACAACATCCTTCTCAAGTTACAGGTGGAAGTCACAACACAGTCCTCAGGGATTACATCTAGCAAGACAACCAAGCCTCTGTGGAAAGCAGCAAGTCATGGCTTTTAGTCAGGTGGAAAATAGGTTTTATATAGGAAGAAAAAAAATTAATTGCCTAGGAAAGCCTGGAGGGTTCTAAAAAGCATGCAACTTGGTGTTGCCTTGGCATTATCTTCCTTAGCAGTATTAAAAGTTAAGTATGTATATTACAGAGAATCAACCACTGTCAACAAAAAAGCCTATAGCCTACAATTCTTATACTTCTCTTACTTGTGTAACTCAGTCTTCAGCAAATGAAGCTTCAATCCCAGCTATTAGTTTACAGGAGCCAGTCCCACCAACAAGGTGACATAAGCAATACAGGAAAAAATACATTTTTAAATAAGTTTAATCTAATTTAGGGAGGATCCCATACAACTATAACCATACAACACTAATAAGACTTTTTGATGGTTTTCATATTGCATTTAAAAATAAACAAAATATCTGCGCCAGAAACATCTTGGGGCCTCAATTTCCAGTGTGTAGCTGCATAGCAGCATCAAAGGCTCCGCCTCCTGTAAAAGAGGAACTAAAGAGAGCTTCTTTCAGTAAAAATAGCATCACCAGAAGCTGAAGTTCACTTTAGACTGAGTTTTCACAGTTCTGCTTCATGGTCTGTTTAGTTGGGAGAGTAATGTCTTCTCACACCTATCATCTATCTGTGAATGAAGTTACTTTACAATAGTGAATTCTGGTTACCATGGGTCTCTGCCAGTAGAAGGTTTATTGCATTTATTCCATGTTAGATAATTCAAGAGTTACCAAAAACAGCTTCTAAGTTTGTGTGTTAAGTAGTAACTGCCCTAGTGTTTCATATCCAGATACTTTTGTATAGTTTTCTAACACACTGTTAATCTCCTTGCATGAGCTTACTTTCTTTAAAAACATGTAATAAAGCAATGCTAAAGTCAAACATTTCTACCCGTAAAGTAACTGCCAAAATCTGATCCCTATATTTCAAAGACTAGAAAATAGGACAAAGAGTAAGAGACTAAATTGGATGATTAATGAGATAAATGAAAAATAACTAGCATACATTTTTTATCAGGTAAGAAAGCCTTCTGATTCAGGAGCAGAAAATGTAATGATGATCGTATTTAGCACTTAAACAGCTTGGTTAATGCATACAGGAAATTGTCCATTTGAGATGAATACAAACAGAAAAAAATATCTTCTGCACCCCTAAGTATAGACAGGTCTAGACTTCTTCATTGCTGTTCTTGCAGGTGGCAATTATTATTCTTGCATTCATGTGCATATAGCTTTAGTTTGATTTGGTGAGAAACATGGAAATAAGTCGAAATTTCAAAAACAACCATATACTCATTTGGAAACAGCTCTCTGCTTCTGCTTGCTTACAGATTTTTTTTACTTGCCACCCAGCCTTTGCCTACTTGGTTTATGCCTGTATGGTTCACATACTGATTGCACAGCAGAGTGTATAATACTGGAAGAGAAAACACCAAACACCTTCCTCTGCACACAGCAACATTTGCATCTTTAGGAGCAAAACAAAAGGCAAATCAGATGAAGAGGTAGGACTCACTATTTTCAGTGGGAGGGGCAAACTTAGGGCTCCCTTTATCTGATCAAAACCAGCTTTCTTTTCCATTTTCTGTTCCAAGAGCCCAAACAAAGCAAGTAGCCAGCCCTCCATTGCATATCATGGTTTAGTACACAGCATCAGCTGGCAAAACTTTCTGTCTCAGTTTGATGTCATGGTGGGTCTTTGCACATATACACATCCCTATTCTGGACAGTCATGCTATTCTTAGACACAGTAAGAGCCCAGAGAAAATTGCACAGCCGTGTTAGTAGAAATAAAGCAAAGGATTGCAATGATTGACTCCCACCCTTCCCTTCAAAGTGGTTTGCAAACATGTGAAAAAAGAAAAGCTTGGTTTCTTTTTGAAAGAAAAAGGAAATAAAGGTCAAAGGGAGCATAAAATCAGCCCTAAATGGAAAGGGCATTCATTAGCTTTCTCAAAAAGAACAAAAAATAAAAAGCAGCAACTACTTACTAGATGCAAGAGAAACAGCACCAGCCTGTACCTTCCAAAAGAGCCTTATCCAGGCTTATCGAGAATGTAAAACGTCTCCTGAAAAAAAAAGGCATGCTGGGGAAGGCTCCTATTTCAAAGAGGCCAGAGCAAAAACAAGTTGCAGCAAAGCAACCAAGGTTCAGCTGTAGATAATTTTGGGCAAGAGGAAAGAGATTGCCCTTCACCAGATGGCCACATATAAAGTAGTACAAAGGAAGGGGGTAGGAAAAGGGGAAGAAGGAAAAAAAAAAAAAAGAAGAAGAAGAAGAGGAGGATATCAGTTTGGTTGTTCTTGTTGGTTTTTGTTGTTTTTTTGTTTTTTTTTCTATTAAGTCTTGGTTTGAAATAAAATGTAGGCCATTCTGATACCTGTGGTTTTTTTCCTCCAGATGGTAGCTGACAGTTTGGGGTTAACCTCCACATGAAAAGGAAGCAAATTAGAGAAAATTATTGTTTCTCAGCTACTCCTGAGAATTTTATTATTTCAGACTTTGCAAAATAAACACAGAGCCTGTGTTCTGCTAATTCACCTTGTGAAAACTTCATTTCCAGTGGGTTTGCATATGTGTTCAAATAACACTAATTTCTCTATTTTACTCACAACTTTTGCACTTAAAGAGGTGCAGGCAGCTGCTTGAACTGTATTATGTACTCTGGGATGTGGAGTGGCAACATAGAATGTTAGAGAATTGCCATCCTTGAAAAAACTTTCTATCCTGTCCTAGTCTAGCCTATCTGTTTTTCTTAACATAAAGGCAGAAGTTTAATACAGCAAATAGAGAAGAAAGGAAAAAGCTTATTAGTATTCTGACTCTGTGTTTTCCCAAAGGAAATTCTGACTATCAGGTAGTCAGCTGACTCTTATAATGCAATTTGCTTGCTGTTGGAATCTGTCCATTGGTGAAAATTAAATAAATATGATATAGAGGAACAAAGTTGTTCTCCCCTGGTATAAAAACATCTCAGATAGAAAGGTAGATCAAACACAAAAGCCTTGCACCCTGTAGCATAAGTGGCTGTCCATTTTACTGATTATATAACTTGTATCATGTGGCAGTCACAGAATAAGAACTTCTTTGGGAATATAGTTTAAAAATGAAACAACATAGTCATGACAGCATTGATTTCTGTACCTAAGTAATGAGGCAAATCTTGAAAAAATAAGGTTGGTTGATTTACTTAACATAGAAATTCCTGCCAATTTTCAAAGTACTGTCAAATATAATCATATTAACTAAACCTTAAAAACCCCAAACAGCCTCATTTATTATTTCTTCAATGCATATGTTTTTGGGTATTTGAATATGCCTACAACAAAAGAAACTAGATTTTTAGGGAGCCAGTTAGCTTGTCTTGCCAAGTTAAAAGTTCTGGTAAGGTCAATCTCTTACAACAAATCTAATTATTACAACTTACTTTCTTTATGTATACAGTTTTCACCTTATGCCATATGACAGAAAGGAGAGTGGGATAATGCTCTTGGGTTGAATCTCCTGGTGATAGTCATTCTTACTTCCTCAGAGTGGGGGAGGCCTTTGTGAGGGAAGCAGAAGACAGACGGATGTTTTTCAGTTGGTTCTTGTATTTAATCTGCATAATTAGAAAATGGGAAAGTTATCTATGACGCTGATGCTGACTTCACTTCTAGGTCTTTTTGAGCTCATTTAAAGTATGGTAATGAAAAAAACATTTTACCTTTGGGCAGCAATCTAATTTGTCAGGAAATTCCTCTTGCTATGATGAGTGGATGAGGAAAATTTGGAATAATATGATCCAGATGTTAAAGCTCCTATTTAGCAGCAATGCAGATGTATTATTTTATGGAACTGTCCAGATGGTGACCTTCCAGTATTAATAATATATCAATACTGGGGTTTGCATCTGTATGACTCAATTCCTATCTTTGCTCTCATTTACATGACAAAATACGCATGCATTTCATGTAGAGACTAATAGTATTAAAATTAACAATCTGGAAGACATAAAAATCAATCAAGAAAATTGAAACAATTACTACAAGTAATATATACCAATTGATCTCATAACAGCATCACCCAAAAGAAGGCTATGCTACCGTTTTTTAATTGATTTGCATTTAATTTTGCATCTAACATGATAACAAAATTCTGTTACAATTTTGTATTAGAAAGTAGCCAATTTCCTGAATATGTCCACTCAAGCAGTTTTGGCTTTGCCAGTTGAATTCAAACTTTACTTTACTGGAAAACAAGAAAAGCAACCCACCGTACTTAAGCACAGCAGAGAAAGTTCATATTGGACAGCAGCCAGGCAGGCAGGCAACAGAAACCTTTGGTGGCCTCTGGTGAAGGCTGGGAAACCTCAGGATCTGCAGTCAGGGATGAGCAGAGGCCACTGACCTGTGGCATGTCAAAAGGGCAGCAGGGCATGGAAGTAGCTCAGTCACTTATGGGCACAGATAGCAGACTGAGCCCTCCTGAAGTCAGGGCTGCAGGGTAGAGAAAAGCCTAATTCTGATCTGATCTTGTGATGATGTGCTGGTATCTTCTACAGGCGTTTCTATCTCTTAATTTATTTAAACTTATATTGTAAAATACCAGTTTGTTCAAGAGTTCCCTGCTTCCTGGGGCTTGGGGGGATTATCTTTAAGGGTTTCTCATGTTTTCCTTAGAGAAGAATTGAGTCTTCCTACAGCTGAAATCTGTGGCAAAGCTGTTTTAAATTTCACAAGGAGTAACACTCATTCTTTCAGAATTCTACTTTTTAGATTAAGGAAAGAGATTAATTTTCCATAGAAGTATCCTTTTACTCTAGGTGAATTGTGCTTTTTGTTTGCTTTTAAAGAATCTCCCTGTACCAAACCAAACATAAATTTTAAAATTGTCTCATCTCTGAGTTTTTTTGGATTTTATTTTTAGCAACATTTTTGTAACAATCCAGGAGTTAACTCTACAAACATGTATATACTAAAGTCAGTCTTGCTTTACCTTTGCCATCATCAGGTTTCCACAGTCCCAAATCCATGGTTTACTAACATGACTACAGAGAGAATTGACATTACAGGGCTTTTAACTCTTCAGTGGGTATTAAATATGTGCTTATTGGAAAAGAACTAGAATATTTCATCACAGTGGGCAGCTCAAGCTAATATATATATTGAGTTTGATGAAATTTCATTTTGGAAAAAACATTTAAAACTTTAAGCCACAGCACTTTGTGCTGAAGAAAGAGGTGTGGTTACGTACCCAAGCACCACCCAGAGGAGTGCAGTCAAATGTGCCTCTCTAAAACTTCCTAAGAGCAGCTCTAAGGCTTAAAGTGCCTCCACTGATTTCAGAAAACTTGCTCCCAAAGTTTTAACCTTGTGGTCACCATACCTAATTTGAGTTCCAAAGCAAACTTTAATGTTTTTTCCAGTAAAAATAATTCTATCAGTAGACAATTTAAATTCCAAGCATATGATGTGAGGGGTCTGGTGAATTGCATCTCATTGTTATAACCAATTACTACATTGGATTTACTAATTATTTACAAGATGCAAGGCAGACTAGCATTCTAGAGTAAAAAAGGCACTCCTGGGTCAGATGCTGTACAAGTAACATTTTATTTCTAAGATTTACAGTTTGACAGTCTGTTAATCAAACCTGACCACACACAATGGAAACATGGGATGTCATTACTTTAAAATGACTGTTTCAATTTTGCTAACAGTCCCACTGCTGCTTATGTGGCTTGTTTCTCTTTATTTCACCATCAACATTTGCTGGTGAAAAACTGTCCATGTGAGGAATGCTCACTGTTATTACCCTTACATCACTTTCAGACCAACCTCTCTTGGGAAGAACATCAGAGAATGTCCAATTTTTTGTTGTTTTTTAAGTTGTTTAGATAAATTTCATAGATGGTATAGTGACTTGGCTATATCTAACTTACCTTAGTTATTTTCTACCTCTTCTAGTCCTGTTCCGTCCTTTGTTTCCCTCCTTCACAATTCTGAACTGTTAGTTAATTATGTTAGCAATCTGTTCACATTTGCCACTTTTTGTGAAGACTGAAGGAAAACAAACTGGGTTTCATGGGGGTTCATTCCTCTGTTTTTTCCTGTATTATACATTCTTATTCACCTTTACGTAAGAGCAAAATACAGAAGCATAAAATTTGTTGAATTTATTTAAATATTTCAGTAGAAACTACACATGCAACATTCTGTGCCACTCTGCAAAATACACAAGGACTTGAGCAGTCTTACTTTTTTTTCTATCCATACATTAGTGTACAAATTATTCTTCATGATCCATAAATGCAACTGAATTTTGGGTTTACCATGTTTGTATTTAATTAATTCCTTACGTAGGTAACTTTAGGTAAAATTGGGATTGGCAAGTGTTAGGATTTTCTATGTGATAGATTTTGCTTTCTATGCAGTGAAATTGCTCTGGGCTGGTCTCTTCAGTACCCACCTCTATGTATGAAACCCCTTTTGCATTGTGGAGCTGTAGCTCCTCTTACTTCCTGGGGGTTTTTTTATTGCATAGCTGACCTGGAGTTTCATATTAACTCATTTTACAACTTGTGTTTGTGGTGTGAAGAGAGAAGGGGAAAACCTTTCAACTTTGTACAGCGACTGTGTTCACTCATTTAATGCCCTAACTTCTGAGTTAATCCTCAACTCTCCATTTATGCAAATGAAGGTGATGAGACATCAAAAGCCTTGGCATAATGGATAAAAATAAATAAGTGTATTCATATCAAAGCCACATTACAATTCTTTCTGATGATCATGATTTCCTACTGTACCACACTTAAATGCTGCTTGGAGATCTTCTCTATTTTGACTATTGCTAAAGATTTTTACTCCAGCGAGTTAGTGCTTCCTTCAAACTGCAGGCTAATTTTCATTTTGTTTTGCAGCAGCAAACAGCCTAACACAAAGTATGAATATGCTTGACAGCCAGCAATGTTGACAGCAGGTTATAAACTACTTTTGGAGTCACAGCTACTCAGCTTTGCTGCAGGTAGGCCAAGCTGACACATTTACATATAGGAGTCTTAGTCTTATTATACAGACTATTAGAGTCTTATAATACAGAAAAATTAGATTCATTTCGTTGTTTTGCAGAAGCAACAAGAGCAGCCAAATCCCAGTAAGGTGTAACCTTTCAGTCAAAGAAATGTTAAGTTTCTATAGCTGAAAGAGCCCACTCAATATAAATTCCCCAGAGCAAATTTTTTGCTAAAATGCAGCAAGTCGTAT